GCCTGAGGACACCAGCACCCGCTGCTGCCCTTAGTCAGCTGCCCACAGGTGGCCCCCAAGGGAAGGAAAAGCACGCCCGTCAAGCAGCACGGCCGAGGGCTTTCTTTCCCAGGATGCCCGGGGCTCCTGCCTTCCTCTCCTGCCTGGAGTGAGTCAAGCAAGAGGGAAAATGCCCCCATCAGAAGCGGAAAGGAGAGCGGCCTCAGCTTGCAGCCAGCCCTCAGTTGCACCCATTGCCGGTCAGGCAGCTGTGGCTACATCGGGCAGCGAATAAAACCAGGGAGCAGAGAAGCTGCCACCCCACGACAGCTGCAGAATGCGAAAAGCATCCAGGACGGTACTAACAGCCCAAATGACGTGGAAGAGCTTGGGGCTCTTCTGGAGGGAGCTGCTGCCAGGAAGGCCTGGCTCTCTGCCCCCACCCGCCTGGCCTCTCTCGGCCCGAAGGCTTTGGATGAGGGCCACGCACGCTAGAGGTCAAAGGGATGGAGGCGGTCCTTGATCAGCCCCAGAAGCCCAGTGAAGGGGGCATCCGCTGAAAACCATGCAATTTTGCCTGCCAAGCGGAGCCTCAATTTTGCGATTGATTCTAGACAGCCAAGCATGTGATCAGGGCACTTCTCTGCCTTATTCGTAAGTGCTTTATTATGTGCCCCCTTCTCTGAAGTTCTGTGCTCCTTGGTCATTCCAGACTTGGGATCCTTCCGCCTGTGCCCAGCTCCCTTGGCTCTGGTGGACCCCTCCGCCCCCCGCAGGCCTCGTACCTGAGGTGCCCGAAGTCCCCCTCATACTCTTTCAGCAGGGACTCCTTCCTCTCCAGGCGGGTCTTCAACTTGCTGATCCTGTCCAGCAACAGGTCCAGATCCTTCTGCCGCAGCAGGCTCACCTTTTCCCGCTCGCCCTGGGGCAGGTGCTTGAGGGTGCGCAAGCCCATCAGCTCCTCCACGTCCATCAGGCTGGAGAGACCTCGGACAAAGCTGAAGTACTGGGGCGGGAAGGGTGGGGGGGTCGAGTCAGAGGCTGCGCCATGCCCTCAGTCGCATCCTTTAATTTTCAATGCCTGCCAAGCCCACAAAGCTAAGCTAACTCCAGCAGTGGGCCTGACACCTGTGGATATCGAGAAGGTCCACGCCGTGGGTGGATATGTGGGCCAGGGGAAGAACATTCTGTCCTTCCTTTCTATCCATCACAGATCCACGTAGACCCCTTCCCTGCCCCAGAGCAGAAAAACCCACCTCTCTGTTCCCCCACTGCCCCCAGACTAGTCTGCCTGCCTGCCCGCCTGCCCATCTCCCTCTCCCACAGCTGCCAAAAAACAAGGCTGTTCCTGGGTTTTCTCATCCAGAAACCCAGAAGGACAGGGAAGCAGCGTGCTAAACATCCCTGCACTTTCCGTTCATTCCTCCACTGCTTACTTTTACGCCACCGACCCTGTAAGGAATCTTGTCTCAAAACACTGCAGCAAAGTAGCAGCATAGAAACTTGGGAAGGACAAAGGGCCACCAGGATGCAAAAAGGCCGCCAGGAATATCCCTTTTGTCACAAGCCCCACTGGGCCCCCAGCCCCTTTTCCACACTTCTCCAAGGACACTGAGGTGGGGAGGGCTGAATTAGGGCCACGCAGCACCGGCCGGGCTGGGTGAACTGGGGCCTGTCTCAGCATCTGGTCCCAAGGGGCAACTATCAGCTGGCTCCAGGAAGCACCTCCCATCCTGATTTTCCCACAATGCCTGAGTGAAGCCACCTCAAGGCATTGTGGGAAATGTTAAGTGGCCCATGGTTTGCTGTAGAGAAGGAAGAAAGGCAGCTTCCTGTAGGGGAGAGAGGATGAACCTGAAATAGTTGCTCGATACCCGGCACAGGCACGGGGGTGGCTTCCACCGTCCCCTTCTCAGGTCTGACCGGGTTGTCTCCCCCTCCTGCACTAAAGCCAGCCTCCCCCCCTCCACACCCACCCCGTCCCCCTACCAGGTTCTCGCTGAGGTCCAGCGCGTCTGCCATCTCCAGCTTTGCGGTCCTCTCAGTCGTCACGTTGGGATCGAAGCCGGAGACGCCACGTGGAGCCTCCGAAGAAAGGAAACACAGCGAGAGCTTCTGAAGCATCTGCGCTTACTAGTGTCTGGAGCCCGCGGCTCAGAGATGCGGGACCTTTTCATTTTAATCTCTCCCCTACCAGTTTTCTAAAGGAAGAACCCGTCCGAGCACCCCAGTGAGCTTCGTTTACCTGGTGGATGTCCGCTGTGGCCGCTAACACTGTGGCCTGGTCTTTCTCTGCCAGCCCTTTCCTGAGGATGAGGAGCGGCTCTAAGTTTTTCGCTTCAGGGTCTAAAGGAGGGGAAGACGCAGCAACGTTTAAGGCCCGGCTTTAGGTGAGGCGGAGAGCCAGACCGAGGTCTTGTCCGCCATCTTTCTCACCGCCCCGCCTGCCTCTCGGGGGCCTCCGCATCTGAACGGAACGGCACCTCAGGGTCAGAGTCAGCATTTGTGAGCTCTTAAGTTCTCAGCTTTGGAAAAAGATGGGCCTATTCAGACCAGCGGAAGCACAAACCGGGAACCTTGAACACTGCTCCATTTTATTATTCTCACTGCCTCCCTGAAAGGGCTCGTGTGGCAATGGAGCTGCCCTCCCCTCTTGCTTTTGGGCATCAGCTCAGCTCTTGCATGATGGGCGGACAGCCCCCTTCAGGATTCCTCCCGCAGGAGGCGGGAGGAAGGTCCCGAAGGAAGCGCGGCCACCCTGCACGGCCCTGAGGGCGGTCGCGTCTTGCTCGGGGAAGAAGAGAGACTGCAGGCTCCCCCCAAAAGCAGACTCCAAATTGCAATAGTTCACATGACCTAAGAGGAAAAGTCACCGATAGCTTACTTTAAACCCAAGCGCAGTTCCATTCAACCCTTTTTCTCATTCCTGTCTGTTTTCAAGCGTGCAGTCCTGGGCACCCCACCCCAAAGAAAGCCTCTCTCTCTGTCCTCGGCCTTATCTCAGAAAGGGGGAGCAAACAACAGCTCACCCGCACCAACTCACCCAGAGGATGCCCCTTTTCCAGGTTTCTGAGTCTCTTCCGCAGCTCAGCCAGGGCCTCTTTCTGGCGACGGATGGTTTCGTCGTGGCGCGAGCCTTTGCACCTCGCCCCCAGGTCAGCCAGGCACAGGAGGGGGGGTTCCTGGAGGCGCAGAGACACCCGATGCTCAGCCAGGAAGCACATGGGCATCTTGCGCACAGGGCAAGCTGGCCGGCAGCGCGTGCTCTGGGCCAAGGGGCACCTGCCCTTCGCAGAGCGGAAGCGGCTCTCTCAGCCCACCACCCCTAAGCCACTCAGGGGACAACATCTGCCACGCTCCGCGCCTGTCTCTTCCCTTCCCAAACTTCAAAGGGTTATGTCTCCCGCGTCCCCAGGGGTCAACTGAAGTCCTTGCTGGGGATGAGCACTTCAGGCACTTCACAACCCACTCAGCTTCAACCAACCAAACAGCGGCACAGAAGCATGGGCACCGTAGCCCCAAAGAGCGGCATCGTTTTCTTTTCAAAATCACCAGCCCAGCCACACTTCCGTAGAAGATCCCATCGCTGGTGGCCAGTGGGAGCCACACTCGCACAAGGCCAGGAGGGCTAGGAGCAGGCAGCTCTGCCTCGGAGCAACTCCGAACTATCTAACTCGTCCCTGTGAGCAACGACTAACAGTCGGTTTCCAGGATCTCACACTGAGCGCCTCTCTCCCAACCTCCCTCCCAATCTCTGGGAGAGCCCATTTCTTGAAAAAGTTCATTCTGGACGGCCCAGGGCCAAACGACAGCAGGACCGTTTTAGGGGAATATCAGAGGGACAAGAAGGGAGGGTGGAGGGTGCAAATGGCTGCACAAAGCTAGAGCTTTCCCCCCTCAGAGCAAGGTGCCTGTCGATGGAGGAGAGATCACCATTCCACCCAGTTTCTGAACAGCCACTGGGCACGGCGGGAAATGCTCCAGGGCAGCAGCCTTGTGCAAGGAGGAGGAGGAGGAGGAGGAGGGCGGGGCCTGCTGCTCTGAGCGCGTGGGGTGGGCCAGCCCGCAGAAAGAGCCGCCACATGTTGCTGTTTTCTCCCACAAGCTGTCTTCCCCACCCCTAATGAGCAATTATAGCAACAATCAGCAATGACAAAACTTCACGCTTGCAAAGTGCGATGAAAACATTTGCTGCACGCGTCCCTCGGCACAAACACCCAGCACCTGTGGTCACCAGCCTCCACCGGGCCACGGATTCTTTAAACCAGATGCCCTCCCTGAGCCCGGGGTGCCCCTTCGATGTCCCCCTTGCCTTTGCAGTGGAGAGGGCGTCGTCCTGCAGGGGGCCCCTGGTCTGGATGCTCTTGTGGTGCGTAACCTTGGCCTGCTCCGCAGCCTTTTCCTTCGCCTCCGCCAGCAGCAGCTTCACCTTCTCTCTGGTCTTCCTGCACCAAACACCGGAACAGGTGGCAGGAAAAGAGGGGGACGGTGGGAGCAGGAAAGCAGGGCCTTCAGCTGCATCCTTTCACACGCAATACCTCAGGGCCTTTTCTGACTCTGCCCCGTAAACCAAACTGGCTCGGCGTGCTGGGTGAAAGGAGACGCTTGATCTTTGACCGAACCGTGTGAGCCCAGCCCACAAACCTGGCATCGACTGACGATCTGGAGCCGGAGAAGCCTCAGCCGGCTTGGCCTACTACCTCAGCTAGGCCAACGCGGTTAGCAGCAGTTCTCCCGGCTTTGTGACTTTACTGAAGGAAACTTCAGTAGGAGCCAGCCACGTTCCCCTCCTATGTTCATTAGCATCAGCTCATGTAAAATCAGGGGGAAATCTTTTCTGCACCAAGGATCGCGTGTCTTTCAATGATTTTTTTCAGCTTCCACTAGGCCGCCCGAGGAAGCGAGGTGACATTTTTGGTCTAATTTTGGTTTTTCATTTGAAACTGATGGGGTAAGCGTTCCAGAGGGTTAACATACACATCTGGGGGCTTATTCCGGCATAGAGGTGAGCTGTTTGCAGCCCCAAAGCATCGGGTGATACGATCTCAGGGAGGCCACCTTACCTTAATTCCTCAGAGACGGCTTGGAGATTTGTCTCCTTCTGGCTCAGCAGCCTGGACGTCCCCGACAGCTTCTCTCGGAGGTGGCTGAGTTCTCGGGCCTGGTCCTGCACGAGGCTTCGCTTTTCTTCCAGCTCCGTTTTCTGCTTGTCGCTGAGCTCTCCTGCAGAGGGGAAATTCGGAGGCTTCGTTAGTCCTCAGAGCTTCACCCCACACATTCTAAGGGGCGTGTCTGTTAGCTCCGATGTACTGTTAGGTTGCTGTTCGGGGTGGCCTCTGAGGACCAGGCTAACTGAATTTTATCAGCATATGTTACGCCCTGGTTTTCTAACGGGGCTGCTCTGGTTCTGATTCCAAGCTGTGCATACACAAAAAAAGGCAGCTGCAAAGTTGTCTGAATGGAAGACGTTAAAAACATGTGTCCAAGTGACACACATTTCACAAACCGATCACGTCGGACATCGTGGCTCTCGCCTTGGAAAGTTCCTTCTTTAACTGTGAAATGACAGCCTGGTTGGCCTGGATCTCCTTCTTTGCGGCTGCAAGTTCTTCCCTAAAATTAACGAGAACAAAAATGGATTCTAAGAAAACGGCAGAATTCCGCTTCAGTGACGTGGCTCGAGGTGTCCAGGGTTTAATTAATTAAAATGTCACAATCCAAGGAACAAAGTATAATCTCCCTCCAATTCGGATTAAGACCGATGTGGATCGGCACGGCTAGGTCTACTTCCAACTTCTACTGCCTGATCCAAGAGAGCAAAGAGGGACGCTTGGAAGCCCGGATCACTCCTCTCGCTGAAACTCTGCCCGAGCACTCCGTCTCTCCCATATCTTACGCTTCTGGCTCCCAGTTATGCAGCCGGCAAGAAGGAACAGAGCAAACGTTCCACTTACTTCAGGAAGGCATGGAACTCTTCCACGATAAGCTCTTGGGAGGCGGGTAGTAACGGCTTGCCAGCCTCCTTCTTTGCTTCTGGAGGGAAAAAGAAATTGCAGAAAGATGCGGAAAACCCTCTGGGATACAGCATGGCTGTTTCTGAGAAAGTCAGCTTGGCCTTTCCATCAGGAGGAGCTCAAAGCTCTGCAAAGGGTACTGAAGTTGGGCACGGGAAAGGGTATTCAACCACTGTTCAGTTCTCGGTTAACTAGGTGGAAGACTAGTATCAGCAAAAGAGATGCCCCTGCCCAAACATTCATGAGTTCACGGAATGACTTTTTAGAATTATTTCCCAATTCCCTGGACACTTCATAGGCGACTTTGACTTACTACAGCTGAAAAGAGGCCAGGGTGGATAAACCTGCTAACCTGTGAAGAAATGTTTGCAGCCCCCAATTCCTCGGAAGCAGGTCCGACTGGCCCCTCCCACTGAAGAGAACCAAGGGCCAGCTCATTTGCATAGCCCCACCCATTAAGCACATGGACCATTAGCACCAGCGGGGGTGGGGGGAATCTTTGAAGATGACCCTCACTGGCCAGAGAAGGGGCAATGCCGGTGGCCAACCTGAGTAACATGGAGGCCTTCTAAAAGCTGAGGATTTATGCAAAAATAAAAATAACACAAGCAATGTCCTCTTTCTGGAAAAAGAGACTACACTGTGGCACTGTAAAAAAATGCACGGTTTCCATTCACAGTGATCCCCATTAGAAAAAAAAAATCAAAGGGAAAACACTGTGCCTTGTCGGGAACGTTCAACACGTTCGTGACTAGTTTCATATAATCTCATTCGGAGTGAGCCAAAATTTATGCAGTCTGTAAAAGGCAGAATTCCATATCAAGTTGGAATCCTAAAACCTGTTTTACATATGATGATATTAATGGGTTAACTGCATTGTTGCTTTTGTTCAACTTTATCTTGGGATGCTTGCAGGCTAGGCAAAGGAAGCCGAAACGGGCGGACTGAGCGGTCAACCGAGTCAACCGAGCAGTCAAGAGTTTCGGTGTGAGAGGATTCACGACGGTGAAAACAACGGTGACAATTCCTGCCCAGAGGGGGCTCAGGGGAATGGTGGGGAAAATCAGTGCGGCTTCTTGGTGCCAACTCGCCGTCCACAGAGATTCGGCTGAGGATGCGGCCTGGGAGCTTCCGCTCTGCACTGACCCGACTGCTCTGGCGTGCCGTCCTCCTTCGCCTGCGGGGCGGCTTCTGCGAGCCTCTGCTCCAGATCCACGATGGTCCTGGCGTGCTGCTTGACCTGCTCCTTGTACTCCAAGATCTCCTCCTGGTGCTTCTGCTTCAGCGACTCGGCCTCCTCTTCCAGGCTCTTCAGCCGCTTCTCCCAGACCGACAGCTTCTCTTCTGCCACCGTCTGGCAAAGGGAGAAGCCGATGGGCGCCGCTGCAGACTGCCCGCAGGCCACGCCACCCTCCCACCAAATCCCATTTCGGCAACACCCCCCCGGTCGCCGAAGAAGGCCGGGGTCCCTCCAGAGAGGAGCCCCCCCGCCTTACCTTTCTCCTCATTGCTGCCTCCAGAGCCTCCAGACTCTCTTTTATCTTGGCATTTAAAGCCCCCTCCAGGGTTGTTCTCTGTTCAATCACCTGCAAGGCAGGGAGGGGAAAACGAGGTGAGCAGAGAGGGCCACCCGCCTCTCCTTGGCGGCCGACCAGAGTTTTAAAAAATGGCTGTAAGACATCAAATACTGAAGGGCGAGGAAATATGTGGATTAAAGAGGTCCAACTAAAGGTGCTGGTAGACTAAAACAAAAATAAAATGCAGCGTATCACCCATTTTGCCCATGCCAATTGTCCAGTTGCCATAGGCTATATCACTTTGGAGCCCAAGACGCTGGAGGGGACCTTGAAGGCCCCGACCAATTCCCAAGAGTTCACCTATGTGCTGCTACTAAATTAACGGCATCTCGAGGGCTGCTTTGAACCAGACTGTTTCTCTCCCATAACTTCTGCAGCAAGAGGAAGAAAATGCGAAACAATATTCTTTCCTACACCTGATGGGCTGCCTTAAACAATATAATTGCAGAGACCCCCAACAGCGTAGGTCCCCGTTGGTCCTTTGGTCAGCCAGGAACCTGACAGGGTCACTCTTGTGGACGAGCGAGACCGACGCGGCTGCCGATCCCACTAGCTTTGCCTGGTTTCCCTGAGCTGCTCAGGGCGCCAATAAGGCCAGGATCAGACCCTGCCCCTGCCCGAGGTTCCTCTACCTCTGCAGCCTTGCCTGGGGTGTCCTTCGGCTAGCGAGGGAAGGGGGTGAAGAGCCCCCCTTTCTACCCACCTCGGAGAGCTCCTTCACTTGAGCTTCCAACGCATGGACCCTTCTCCTCTCTTCTTCCAGGGCTTCTTTTAACTTGGCTTCTTCCAGGGTGGCCATCATCGCCAGAACCTGGGGGAAAGCGGGCCCTCTCCTGTGAACGTGCCTCACGTGAGGGGGGGACAGCTGGAGGCTGCCAGGGCTCCCAGCGGGGGTAAGCCCCCCACGGCTGGCCTAGAAAGGAATCAGGCCCTTAAACGTGGCCCCCTCCTACCCACCTCCTTCTGCTTATTTTCTTCCTCTCGCATCTTTCTTTCTTTGGCCTGGAACTCCTCCTCCAGCTGTTCTTTCAGCTCCTTCAGCTTTTCTTGCAGGATCAAGTGCTGAGACTCTTCCGCCATCCTTAGCTGGTTCTATGGTGGAAAAGCTGCACCCTCAGACCGGCGGAGGAGGCAGGACCAGCCAGACAACAGGACCCCGCCTCTAAAGCAGCACCTTTTACCTGCAGCGTCTGAACCTGCCCCATAACGTTATGGTGTCGATCCAGGAGCCGCTTCATGTAGAAGGCCATCCCTGCCAGAGAGGAGAGCAGAGGTGAGACTTGGCGTCCTCGAATACTGCTGGCGCGGACAGGAGGCAGTGGGAGGGGATTACTCGGGGCTGAATGCCACCATTTCCACACACTCCTTAGGGCGGACTTCCTGAAATTGGAAACTCTGGGGCTTCGGTTCCTAGAATTCCTAAGTCGGCATGGCCCCTGCCAAGACTTCTGGGAGTTGAAGTCTCCATATCTGGAGAACACCCAGCTTGGGAAAGACTGCCTTAAATACAAGTGAATTTCAGATAATTCAGGGCACTCCTTTTAGGTCCGCACACCATTACATCAAGCCGTATTCTAGGGCAGTGTTTCTCAACCTTAGCAACTTTAAGGTGTGTGGACTTCAACTCCCAGAATTCCCTAGTCAGCATGCTGGCTGGGGAGTTCTGGAAGCTGAAGTCCACATACCTTAAAGTCGCCGAGGCTGAGAAACCCTGTTCTAGGGAATCCTAGAATTGCAGCGATGGAAGGTACTTTGCAGTTCATTGAGTCCAGTCCCAGCCCAAACTAGGAATCTACTACTATGATAACTATTTTTGCTGGACTTTTAGGGGTTGGAAGAATGGAGAAGACTTGAAGTGGCAAAATGGGTACCAAGGCACAGAACCACTCCCAGATGTTGCCCACCTGTTCCGGTGTGCTGGGCACCCTGCCCAGCTCTGCCACAGCCCGGCTGCTGCTTGTGCTTCTGAAGCAGCCTCTGCCTGCGCACTGCACGCTTGGCCCCGACCGCCCACCCACGAGGGGGCTGCTCCCTGCCCAGCTCTGGAGGACGCTGGCCCTGTGGACCACGACTCGCTCCCTGCAGCCTGGATCTCGTCCAGGTGATCAGCAGGGCAGCCAAAGCTCGGCCAGGAAGGGGGCGATAAGAACCTGTTTCCCCAGCCAAGGCATCCGCGCCCATGTCTCGGAGCAGAACCTCCATCGCTTCCACCCAGCCCAACAGTTTGTAGAGGATCCGGGTCAGGGAGGCCTGGATTCCTGAGGCCAGGGGGGCCAGGGGGGCCAGGCTCTGCAGGCGGCTGAGCTCCTCCTTCAGGCTGTTGCCACAGTAAGCCGTCTTCAAGAAATCCTGCCCGAGAAGTGGGTGGAGACTCTCTGAGTGGCCATGACATGAATGCCCATGCCTGGCAACAGCGGTTACTATCTCCTCGCTTCATGAGGGATTCTGGGAGAAGGACCCCCCTCCATGTCACCCCTCTGCCCCAGGGAGGCCTAAGATCCTGCTTCCTCCACCCCCTCAGCCCAGTCCCGGCTCAAGCAGGATTCGGCTAACGGGCAGCGATGCAACATAAAACGCCCATGAAGGGCAGGCTTAGCAAGGCAGGGGTTTTGGAAAGTCCTGGGCGAATAGGAGACCTGAAATCCATCGAGTGACTTCTTCAGCAGGGCAAGGTCAGAAGACAGTTTCTCCATTTCCAAGGCCTTGGCCTGCACTTCCTTCTTCAGGGCTGCCTGCTTCTGGCCGTATCCCTCCTTGGTTTCCTGCATTTGCTGGATTTCCTCAACAATCTGGGGCGGCGGGGAGAGAAAGACCAAGGAGACGTCGCTGATCTCGCTTATCGGCAGGATTTAGGTTTTCCTTCCTGGCAGCGGCTTCCCATCGCAGCCCATGCCGGAGCCTTGCCTGCCTGTCTCTTGGCGGCAACCCTCTCCTTCATGGGAAAAAGGGCCTGAGGATTGGGGCCCCATCCGCTCTGGGGGCCCAAAGGGGGGCGCCTGGGGACAGCTGTCTGCCCCACTCCTTTTGACTCCCCCAGGAAGAAGCTTTTTTCAGTGGGGCCTTTTCTAAACCCACAAGTGCTGTGCCTGGCTGGAGAAACAGAGGCTCTGCCCCGCCCTGGTGCCAGTGACCGTCAACCAGGCCCTGCCGCCTGCACGTGGCCAGAGAGGGGAGCTGGCTCAAACAGGGATTCCCCGCATTAAGAGCAAGGCTGTTACCTGCTCGTCAGTTAGAGGTTCCTCAGGAGGTTCCGGAAAGAGGGCTGTCAAGACCTGGCTCCGAAAACGCTGCACCTGAGAGCAGAAAAGGTAAATGGTGGACGAAAGAGCCTGGCCGGAGACGCACCCTCCCCTGCACGGGGTCAGGTTGGGGTTGAGAGGATCATGCAAATCCAGGCAGAACCAAGGGGAGGGGGAGTCCTCCGAATCCCACCTCTCCCCACTAAGCCAGGCAGATGGGTGAGGGCTCCTGATGCTCTGGGAACACCCCCATGAGAGGGGGGCGAATGAGCTGACCCACAGAGCCCCTCGGGCGGCATCTGGGGTACCTGAGCAGCGGCCTGCTCCATCCCCGAACGCAGGAGACGCTCTCGGCGGCCCAGCTCTTGCACCTGCTGCCATCTCCTCTCGCTCTCTTTCTTCACCTCCCCTTCGGCCTGAAACCACGGAACGTGGGAGGGGTGAGGCTGTGCAGACTGGGACCCCAGCCCCCCGAGGACCATGCCGTGGGAGGGCAGCAGGTTGGGGGAGGCAGGTGGAAGCTGAAGGAGCGCACAGGCCCACTTCGGAACTAAAAGAAGCCGCGCAGGACATCGTCCCGGCAATTACGTTTTTAAAAAGGCTAGAGTGGGGTGGGTCAGGGTGGCAGGGCGTTTTCCTAAAGCCCCTCCCGCAGGCCCGCCTTGACCCACTGGCGGCCAGCCTACCAGTCTGGCCACTGACACCTGTTTATCCTCCCTGGACTGGCATCCCTTTCCAGCACTCCAGAAACGGAAACGGTCACAGAGGTGACAAGCCCCGACGGAAGTGCTGGACACAGACGATCAGCCTCCAGGGTCCTCAAACAGCTGTGACTGGCCCCGAATGACCTGCAGCCCGACCCTGGCCGCCTGCCCGCCTCCCTTCCTGGGAAGCCGTGAGGTCCGACGGGGACAAGGCTCCCCTAAGAATCCTGGAGGGAGGCCAGCTGAAATGAAACGGTGATGGCCCAGGGCGAGGTAGACGTGCACCAAAACCAAAAAGAGGACCCCCTGGGAAAACGCCAGACCGCCCCCCCCGCCCCCACAGCAGCTCTTCTGGCCATTGTGTTCTCTCTGAGAAGGTGACGCCCCACTGAAACTCTCCTTTCCTTTCCTCTGCAGGAGAGCTGACCCCGTCTTTGGATGAAAAGGCCCCTTCCGGGCTGAAGCCCTTTCGCCTTCTGCTGGTGAGCTGCAAGACAGGAAGGGGGCCGCGGGGCTCCGAGCCGATTCTGGCAACCGAGGCCCGGGGCAACTGCGCCTGGTGGCATTTCTCTGCTAATTATTGAGGCCGCCTTTTAGGCAAAACTCCAAAGGTGAGGGTTAAGAAGGACACGCACTCAGTTCTTATCGTCGTTGTTCTCGTCGTCGCAGTACCAGCTCCTCCCTCCCCAGGCCTGGAAGGGGCCCTCAAGGACCAGAACTGCGCCGCGTGTTTACCCTGGTCACTTCCAGAAGCCTTCGGGTCAAGGTCTCCTGCTCTGCGCAGCGCTTCCTGATCTCTTCTTTGGACTGACTGGCCTGCCGCTCCAGCTCCGAGATCCGCTGCAAAGGCACCGGGAGACAGGGTCAACCGCGGGAAATCATGCCGGCCTTGACGACTAGGGGTTTGATTAGTGTGTAAGAAGGGCAGGGAGAGCGTTTCTAGGTTAGGCAGAATTAGGGAGTTACAAAGTCGCAGCTTCCACCTCGATGCAGAAGAGCGTTTCTCAAAACCAGAAGGGGGTTAGTTGTTGTTAGGACCTGATTTCTGCTTTAACAACAGGGGAATTAGGGCTGTAGACAAGAAGGACGTACAGCATCCGTGGGGGAACCCCGAGGTTTGCAAACCTGTAATGAAGAAAACTTCTAAGCTAAGGATGCAAGCCCTGGAAAAAGCAGCCTCGCATCTAAGGGTACTCAGCTGCCCTCGGCTGGAAAAGGAAATCCGAAAATGGCACTGAATGCGCGTAGGTGTATGTTCTAAGGAGCATCGCTCCTGCGAGGAGCGAAGATGCACTGCACAACCAGGCCGGGGGCTCTACTGTCGAACGCAACCCAATACCTGCAACGGGGCGCAGAAGCGAAAACTGAAGGCTGACTCACAGTCTGATATGCACTTATGCCTCTTTCCCTGAGTTCGCGCTTGGTTTCCGCTTTAATTCTAGAGCACTGGAAAGAACAGCAAGGACGGGAGACACGGTCAGGGTGGAGAAGCCATTACCTGCACTTGCACAGCAGCGGGCCTAAAAATCGAATGGCAAGGCTGGAATTTCTCCGGAGGCATTTTTACAGGCGCCTCCTGATAAATACATGTGTCTAAATGCCGGCACTTCCAGCTGTTTCAGGACACCTCACCGGTCAAACAAAGCGGGGCTGGAACAGGCCAATAATTCACAGAGCCAGAAGCGATCAGGCCAAAACTGCCAGGGACAGCCTGCCACGACTCCGCCTGTTCTCAGTCTACGGAGCGTCTTATCGCAATGACTGCTGGCCCGTTTCCAAATGCTTCTGGACCGGCGTTCCTTCTGATCTCCTTTCAGCCTCTTTTTTAACTCTTCCCCTTTCCTTTTTATTCCAAGTCCTTCCATGGTGAGAAGAATTGGTTTGGTGCTCCAGGGAGACATGGGGATTTTATTGTCGTGCCCCGGCCATTAGTGGGATAATAATCAGTGGCTTTTAAAGGAAGTTCTCCTCTTTGATCTATAAAAGACTCATTCTATGGGAGGCAAGGTCTCTCGGTAAAAGGCTTTTATCTGCCCAAGTGCTAATCTGGCTAACATATGACCTGCATATATCGCTTTAATTTTTTCAGGGAGGCACCACTAACCAGCCTTGTAAATAAAGCTAGTAGGTTCCCAATGATTTCTGGCTCTGGATACACTCTCTGTGCAATTTTGCACGTCCCTTGACAAACATTAGCACAGATAACTGAACTCCAGGCTGGCACACCCATTTTTAAAAATGTCACTGAAGTACTGTATCAAGCATACAAGCGTTTTACGCGGCTGGCTGGCTGCAGAGGCGCTCAGAACGCCAGCCAGTCTGAGTTTCAGCCTGCAGTCTCAGCCATCAGGAAAAGCTTTTACAGAACCAGACAGACTTCTCTTGTGTCCTCAAAAAGATACCTTGGAAACAGACACCAATTTTTTTCAGGAATTGTTTTTGTATTACTTCCATGATAATAAAAGTTTTTAAAGGATAATAAAGAAGGGAGCAAGATGCTGCAAATAATTAGATCATGAAATAAATGTAACAGAAGAGAGCCAGTTTGGTCTAGTGGTTAAGGCTCCAGGCTAGAAACCAGGAGGTGGTGAGTTCTAGTCCCGCCTGAGGCATGAAGGCCGGCTGGGTGACTTTGGGCCAGTCCCTCCCTCTCAGCCCACGATGTCAGGCTCAGGCGACAAGCCAGTGGGTTAATTTCTGTTGCAACCAACAGATCAACATTCAGCTGATCCAAAAAAACCCAAACCAAACCAAAAACAGTCCCTACGCCTGCAGGAAAAATGGTAGGTAAGTAGGTAGGTAGAAAGAAAGAAAACAGGGCTCCTGTTAAAATAATACCAGAGAATGCAGAAATTAACACATAATACCAATGAATGCATAAATATTTTTTGTACAAATAAAGTTTATCTCCACACTGCTATAGTTTACTATTAAGTCCTTCTTATTTGCTAATCCATGGCTGAAATTAAAATCAGTTGTTTCGCTAGTAGAGGAACGATTGAGCTATCTCCATGTCCTTTCTAAATTTGTTTTTCTGGAGGTCACTTGATATGTCAATTTTATGGCCTCGTCTCTGACCTGTATTTTTATTCCCCATGCTAGGCAGCAAAAAAAACCCAAAAAACAAAAAAAATCCTTCCAGAATTTGAACAGCTAGAAACGGAAAATGATTTCAGTCTCACAACAGAGTCCTCGCCCTTTGCAAACTGCCTTAGCTTACATTAAATTGTGGGGCAAGCAACTGGATAAAACTTGCCAATGGCCTTAGAATTTATTTCTTGGAAAAGGAAAACGGGAGGCAACCAGGCAAGAAAGCGGGGGGGGGGGAGAGAGCTTACAGCCTACGTAGCACCACGGAAGAAAGGCCTCAGCAGGGCAAGACAGCAGCCCCACCTGAAGCAGACCGGAACTGCCTCCAGCACCTGATTCTCCAGAGGGAGTGGCCCTGAGGGCCCCCAGCCAGGGTGGGAGGCCTGCAGAGGAGGGGAACCGTTCCAGAGAGGGACACACAGATCAGCCATAAAATCCCTGTTCTCAGCACAACAGGAAGAACCAAGAGAACCCAGCTGGATTTACGGAATCCACACGAGCAAAACCGGAGTGCTGACCTGGGCAGAAATATAGGCGAGCTGGTTGTCCTTCTCCCGGCTCTCCTGCCTCAATTTATCCACGTCCGTTCTTAACTGCTGTATTCTCTGGTCCTTCGAAACAACATCTTTCTGCAAACTGGTCACCAGTCCTGCAGGAAGCAGCAAAGGAAATGTCTCAGGTGCCAAATCCCCTGCCAGCTGTGAGAAGGAGCTAAGGGGGCGGGGGTGGGGGGGAGAAGACGTTAACCCTGCAGAGGAGGAGGAGAAAAAAAAATTGGTTGTTAAACACGGCTGGAAGGAAAATGCAGCACATGTCAGGGATGTGTTTGTTTAATTAGGCTTCTGGTTTGCATTCTGACTGAAAACTACCACCGAGGAAGCCTACATGAAGCCAGAATACCATTGCTCCACGGGGCAGTCCCCCTCTTCTTTAACACAGTGCTACTCTGGGATGACAAACCTCCTTCGTAGGGAGGGGGGCTCAAATTTCAGGTGGCACCACCTCCCCACTTTTGCAACCCCTGGAGCCCCCTCCGATGATGCAACTACAGCGCAACTGCCTAAAACGGACGGCTGGACAGGTCCAGCAGAAGGGGTATGTTGCAGACCCTGTCTGTTAAGGAGTCACATCTCACCACGCCTGCTCTGTGGTGAGATGGCTATATGGTAGGTCGTATCGAAGATGCTTTCTCCTAGTCTTTTCAAATAATACTGTTTTTATTACGGCACAATTTTTAATGTTCGTTTTTTATGGTCTGTTGTATGCCGCCCAGAGTCACATTTGTGAGACAGGCGGCTACCTAAATGTGCTGAATAAATAAATAAACAAACATCTTCCTCCCATTTTCCAGGCAGAAAACGGCACGTTCATTCGCCAGTCAAATGCCTAGCGGAGTGGTCAACAGGGTGCCTCTAAGTTTCCTGGAGGGTGCCTGGAGGAGGAAATTGAATAAAAATGTCGGTGGCCAAATGGGCCACATAATACCTGTGGTGAGAGAATAGCTCTTCTTCAGTGCCTCGTGCTCCTGCTTCCAATGTGCAATTTGCAGGTCTCGCTCCGAGAGGGAATGGTACAAGACTTCGCTGGTGTTTTTTTGCAGACTGGTCACCTGGGATGAAAAGCACAGGAGCAGAAGGGAGAGACGTGAGCGGCTCTCATCCCTTTAGATTACAGGAGGGGTTTGCTCTACCGCAAACGACGGCACGTCGTACATGCACATTAAAAAGACGGATGTGAGAACCCCCCAAACAGCAGCACAGCATTCCTCACTTGCTCCTTCAAGCTTTTGATCTCTTCTGCCTTGGCATCAGCATCTTTGTCGAGGCTCGCGAGCTTCTGATGAAACTCTGCGTCTTTCTTGGCGAGAGTTGCCGTCACCTTCTCGGTCATTGCTGAAATCTCGCGCTGAAGCTCTGTGATCAGTGTGTCTTTGCGAGTGCACTCGCTTTCAAAGGCAGACAAACGGTCGATTTCATCCTCCAGTTTCAAAACTGCCTCTTCCTGTACGGAGGAAAAGAGCTGCTTGGAACACCAGCTGGGGAAGGTGACCGTTTTCATGTTCTTCTTCTCCCATCAGAAATTCCAAGCTAGATCCTTCCATGAATCTACCAGTGGCTAATTCAGTCCTGTAACCTCCTTATGAAACAGCAGCCAAGAATCATGCGGGTGAAAGAAATACATACGCCTCACAAACTGCCAGCTTTGTCTCAGAAAGACGTCTAAGTGGGGAATCTGGTCCCTGAGAGATCACCCCTCGTGCCTGCCAGCCCAAAGTCTAACCCATCTCCTGAGGAGCCTTCCCAAAAGGCCCGGCCTGAGCAGGAGGCGGTTGTAGGAGGGGGCTGCTGGCTGTCCCACCTCCATGGGAACACTGCCCAGCATCACCTCGGCCATTGCTTCCATCTAACCGACTCCACACCTCCTGTTTTTTACATTTTCATCTGTTCCGCTTTGAAAAGGACTGCTTTTCTCTCTTGAATGATTTATGCTGCTTTCCCATCCCTCTCCGCTGATACTGTTTTCTTACGGGTACCCACGAACAGCTTTCTGGAGGAAGCCCGCTGTTTCTCTCTCTCTCTCTAACCGCAAGTGGTTGCAGGACTAAACCTTCCTTTTTTAAGTCCATCAATCTTGCCTGTGGTTTGGATCCTGGGGCGAGATTTTTTTTTAATGAGAATATTTGATGCTGATGGCCTCTCTGGCTATCATTCTACTTCCTACTCATGCTATTCTCATTTGTGTTTTACTTTGTTATTTAGCTAAAAAGCTGTAGGACCAGCTTAAATTTTTTTGGGTGGGGGGGAGGCTGGAGAGAAGCACAAATATCTTCCATCCATCTTATTTATTTTATTGTCCTTTATTCAATACACAGCCGGCTGATCCCATCGTGACTCTGGGTAGCAAACAGTATAAACTGAAGACAATAGAATATAAACAATACAAAAAGCAGATGTCTGGAAAAACAGCACAAATTCTCACAAACCAATCGTCTCAGATCTAGCCGAGGCCTGGAGAAGTGCCAGGTCCTAAGGGCTGAATTCAATAAAGTCAGCGTAGGGACCGTACAACTCTCTGGGGGATATAATTCTAGGGGGCAGGCGCCAGGCCAGAGAAGGCCCGCTTTGTGGGTCCCATCAGATGACACTGTTTCATCAATGGGACCAACAGGAGAGGCAGAAGTTACAAGAGGGAGACAGTCCCTCCAATAAGGGCTTTCCAGGTTCTAAACCAATACCTTGAATTTCATCTGGAAGCCTACTGGTAACCAGCGCAGCTCACGCAGCTGAGGTACTACATAGGCACACCATGGCGTGCCCATAACTGCCTTTTGGGCCAGCTGCAGCTTCTGAGCAGTCTTCAAAGAGAGCCCCACAAACGGTGCCTTGCAGTAGTCCAAATGTGAGGTGACCGAAGCAGGAGTGAATGTCTGAAGGGCCTCCCAGTTCAGGTCCTCGCTTTTGGACTACTGCAGGAGCTGCAGTCCAGGAAGACCCCCGATTGCGCACCAGTCCCATTTGGGACTAAAGAGGGAAGATCTCCAAATACCCACCCACTCAGTCTTGTCAGGGCTGGGTTGAGCCTGTTCCTCCCCATTCAGAATCACGCCGCCTCTACACTAAAACCAGGGCAATCTCCACTGGTTTACGTCAGGCAACCACTAACTTGGGATAGGTCTTTCCTACCTTGACGATGCCCTCCAGATACAGATGTTGGCAGGGCCTGTGAGTCCTCCAGTCTCTACGCTCATGGAAGATCAAGGACTCAAAGCCCCGCTTTGAGTGAGGGGCTTTTTCAGGGCCCAGCGGGGGAGAGAATTAAGGCCCCCTGCCAGGGAGTGCCCAGCTCGGCTTTGGTGCTGACAGAGGTGCCTGTCTGGAGGGAGAGCCAAGGGCTGCCTCGCCCAGAAGTGCCCTTGCAGGCTCCCTGGAAGCCATTCGACTGGGGAAGGGCATAAAAAGCTGAGGCACCTCACCCTCTCTCTGAGAAGCGCATCCCCTAGGTGGCTGCTGGGTAGAGGACCAGTCAGGGCTCCATTTCCTGGAAAAGAACAGAAAAGAAGCTGACACTCATCTAGGCTGCCCGTTGATACAGAGGGCATCTCTCCTGTCTGGCAACAAGGGGTCCTGGTTTCTTAAGGAATGACAGAGTGAATCTCAACTCCAGACTTCAGGCCGTGTTTCCGCTTTCTGGGAAGCGGTGGGGAAAAGAGCAGCTGGACCTTCATCAGGGTGGGTTCAGCAGTTCCAGGGCTGCCCTGCCCGGTCTCCCCGTACCTGCTAGGGTGGCTGGAGGCCGGCCAGAAGCATCGAGAGACAAGGCAGAGGAGGAGACGGTCCTGCCCCTGGCGCTCCCGGGCCTCTTTCTGATGGGGGGATGAGGCGAGGTCCCACTGGCTGCGTAGGGCCAGCTGGCGTTGGCAGGCTGAGACGGCAGCAGCGGAAACTGGGAAGCAGCGGCTGCCGCTGGAGGGGAAGCGGTCTCTGTCACCACCTGGATTTGACTTGGCCAGGCAACGCGCCGATTCACCAGAGGACAAGGCACCTGCTGGAGGACAGTGCAGACTATGGGAGGAACCTTATCTGCCCCTGAGTCCTTTCCCCGGGGGCCCAGATGCGCTTGAGCGAGCAAGAGAGGTGAGACTGCAAAGGGGGCAAGGACAGAAAGTGAGATTCGGGAGGGGAGCTTTCTTCTCGCTACCGCCAACTCTGGTAGGAGAAGTGAGGGGCCCCTTGGCATCAGTTATGGTCCTGCTCCAGACCTCCCAGACCTCTTCAGCCACCAGCCCGCTTGGGCAACTGGGAAAGGCTGGTCCTTTGGGGCCCGGGCCACGGGGGTAGGAGGCTACTTGGGGAACCTGAGTCTGACTCTCTCCCTTTCCCGCACACCCGAGGCGGGAATTTCCACTGGACAGACCCGGTGACTGGTTGGCTCTGAAAACCTCAGCTAGTCAGCCTCGCACTCTGTGGGAATTTGAATTTGCCTCTCCCCAGCGTTACGCACAATGCTAGATGGCCTTCATCCCATCGGACGGGCAGGGAGGTCACTGAGGTGAGCTGAACTCGCAGGGGGCCAATGGCTATCACACGGGGCAAGAATCCCAGTGCTGTCAACAATGACCCTTCCCAACAGGGTGCCCCCAGGCGTGTTTGACCAACTCCCCTCCCCTCCGCCAACACACACCCTGGACTCCAAAGGGCCAATGCCAGCTTGGGGCTGCCCAGCCGAATTCCTTGGAGGAAGGCTGATGTATTGAGTGAAGATGGGGCTTTGAAGGGAGAACGGGGCTCTGAGGCAGCTTCCTCCACTGTGTTGAGCCCAGAGATAGGGACTTCGGCTCCCAGAAGCCCCAGCAGCAGCCATGCCAGCCACAGCCTGGTGGGGCAGGGAAAGGAACGGGCAGAAAATCCCCTTGCTTGGGCCAAGGCTGCCCTTGGTTCCCTTTTAGCAACCGGCAGGGACCAAGGCGGATATTAATCTCCCCTCTGGATGGGGTTTCCCGCAGCCCCGAACCTCTGTGGCTGTCCACAATCAACGGCACCCTCTTTACCTGGGGCGGATGGTCCAGCACCAGCTCAAAGGCCGGCCCGCCAGAGCCAAAGCGCAAGACGTCTCCTGGGCCCACCTTCACGGCCACGTTCTGGATGTGGCAGTCGTTCACAAAGGTGCCGCTGCCTGTGTTGAAGTCCCGAAGAATGAAGCTGTGCTCCGCGTCACTGAACTCGATGGCTGCATGGTGGTCTTCCAACCCTGGAGACTGAAGGGTGCTTTTTAATGTAACTTTACTATTTACCATTCAGAGCACAAACAAAACACAACACCACCCGAGAGGCAGGGTCAGAAATACCACCTCTGAAGGGGAAGCTGGGAGGCAGGCGGTTCCAGTATCTTTTCTCTTCCATCCCTGTGGAATCTAAGCAAGCCCATGCCCGTTTCTTTCCCTTTCTTTTTTTTTGATAAATCACAAATATAAAGGTAAAGGGGAGTCAGCTTAAAACTGAGCTGAGGACTCACAGACACAACAGTGCAACTTTCTCACAGCAGCATGGAAGAGGTTTACTCTTTACCTTCTTCCAGAATGTTTTTTTCCAACTTCCTAGTCCAGCCTACATCCCTGGGACTCCCATCCTGCCCCTGTTTAGCTTCCAGGCCAGACCACGTGCTTGGTGCTGAGACCAGGACAGCCGACTGGTTCTCTTAGAAATGGAGAGCCCCAGCTTCCATCCCCTCTCTCTACCCTGTTGCTGCTGGGGTCTGCCTTCTTTATAGTAAGACACTAAGCAGAGGCTGATTAGATCTTTGTTGCTTCTTGTGTCCAACAATGAATGGGGTGGGGGATGGACTGGAGGGCAATGCCTGCAGGGAGAAAGCTGAGGTCTGCTTTGCTGAGATCTTACTGAGGCACCAGAGAGACAAAAGTTAAAGAATATCAGCAGTAGCATTTTGGGGGAGAAATCTGGATCATTTAGCAGATTTGACATGTACAGCTGGCTGCTTCTACTTTTTTAGACAGGTTCAAGAACTGATGGTAACTAGCAGGTATCTGCAAAGGAACACCTGTGGTGAGTCTGGATGAAGAGTGCTGGGTTACAAGTACTAATTAGCAGTGGCCAACCTGGTGGACCTTGGACCTCAACCGGTAAATTCTGCACCCAAGGCCCAAGCAAACAGGGTGGCTCAAAGTGCAATTCCCTAAGCAAAACCTGGCCCATCCAGGATTTACCATGGACTAGCAAGCCCTACAAGTCTCCTCCCTTTATGCCCAGAGTTGATCATCGGCTTAACACAAAGCTTCTCCTTTAATTCTCAGATTACAAGTTTCCCTCCAGTTCCCCATTCAGGGGAAGAGCCATTTGAACAGATTCAGTGGAGTGGGAGAGCGGTGGGGTGGGGTGTGGGGAGAGCCTCCAGCACCCCACCAGGGGTCACACGCAATGACCAACATCATACAGAGAACATTCGTGCCTTTACCTTAAGTACGATGTCTGAATCATTGTGCTTTCCTATCGTAGTTGTCTTTGGCCTCAGTGCCAAGATGCCATCGGAACTCCTTAGAAATGCCTTCATTCTCTCTGCCAGACAACATTAGCGAGAGAAAGCAGTTTGAATAGCTGAGGGGCCCTTCAGGGGGGCAACGGCAAAGGCAGCCCTCTGATGCTGATGCTCCAGGCTATTCACTAAAAACTGCCCTGGGACCCAGAAGAACTATGAAGAAGTCTTTAATTCATTTTGCCCCTGAGAGCGTTGCTATATTAGGAAGGTCTGTCAAGCCATTTCCCCTAATTTAGCCCGCTCTAGAAATCCTCAGCTCACAGCTTCCACAAGTCCCTGCCAGCATGGCCGAAGGAGACCCACCAGAGTGCTGCTTGGCGGGCACCAGGTTGGAAAAGACTGTTAGGCAGTCAGGATCCCACAACGGGTTTTTCTGAAATAGCCAACAGGAGCTTTTCATTCCCAGTCAATGGCCTGGGTGCTGCAGCCCTGCCTGAGTGTTGAATCCACCTCCCATAACCCCCAAACTTCCACCCTGACTGGGGAGTTACAGCCTGTGCTCCAAGATATCCATGGGGCACCATGACGTGGGGGAAAACTACCCAGGGAAACGCAGGTCCTCCATCCCATGCAGGCAGCATTCCCCAGTGGGGATCTAGAGTTGGGAGGGGTTCTTGAGATGCCAGGGACTGAACCCGGACCCAAAGCAAGGGTACTGCCCTCTGCTGCCTGGCAGACCGTCTTCCCTCCCTTGGCCAACAGGCATGGGGAGGAGGGGTGATTTACCTGATTGGGCCCCCTCCTCTTTGCCTTTGTACTTGCACCGGTGCCCAGGGCTGCCCTCAGGGCAGAGGCACCCAGAAACCTAAAAGGCAGCCTGCCGCCTGGCACTGCCTGGCACATGGAGGCAAAACAAAACTGAGTTGGCACCCACAGAGCCCTGTGCAGCTGGGCAAGGGCGGCAGCTGCTGGGACCAGCCTGACACTTGGCAACAAAGTCTCCGTGGCCCCCGCAGGGACAAACAGATGGATTCGGGGGCGCTTCCAACCAAGGCAAGAGTGGAGAACGAAATGGCAGCTTTCAGGGCCTCCTCTGGCAAGACGCCCCCGGCTTCCCAAACCAGCCAGCGGATCCTCTCCGTCTGGGACACCGCTGCTCTTCGCTTTGGCTTCCCTTTTGTAGAGAAGCAATTTGGACCACGCAGGATCTTCCTCTCTGCTGGTTCTGGTATTTTTAGATGCGATAATGTGGTTTTATGCATCCCTTTTGGTGGGAGTCGGGTGGCGTATAATTTAATAAGTAACAATAACGATGATGCGCCCGTGACCCCTCCTGAGAACGGAGTGGCAATGCGCACAGCAGGTGAGGCCCTTGTGAGGCGCTGGCAGCCTCTGGGGGCCTGTGAAGGGCCTCCGGCCTTGGGGCCCGAGGAGTTGGCTGAGAGCCTGCGTTTTACTCCGAGGCAAGGCAGGAAATACCCTGAATCTTCGGGGGCCTCCCAGAGCCTCGCCCTGGACGGCCTGCGAAACCGGGGCCCATCTCAGGGGCCAAAGCC